CGTTCGCCGGAGGAGGGAGAGGTTGCTTGGAATCGGAATCGGCGCCGGCGAAGATGAAAGGGCGAAGTGAGTCTCGGGGGAGGAAGCTTGGAGGAGAGAATAATGGCGTTATAAAAACAAAACAAATGGGGGACGCGTTTTTTTAATTTTCTTTTATTTTCTGTGGCTTTGAATCTGGGCCGTTGATTTTGAATACCTGCACGAGTTTGACCGGCCTCAGTGGGTGCGTTTCCCACTTTATTTTTACCTTGGTTGGTCAATAAAGCCGTCACCACTGCAATTACATTTTTATTGTTATTTTAATTTGGACTGCTCCTTCTCTCGTTAGGTCAACGTTCAAATTCTCGTACTTAAGGAAAAAAAACTTTAATATATATCGTAATTACTGTTTGGAAATAACGTAATTCTAGAATATTGTAGGGTGTGTTGATGTCGGATTTTGATTATCTTACGTCTCGTTCCAACTTCATAGTCATATTTATGTTTGTTTTTATACTTGGTGGTGACTTATTTTTTTTGTCCTGTTTATTTACTAAAACCGGAATGAAAATCAATCGAAATATAATCTAATGGAATGAGAATGCTATTTCTTTGATGTTATTTACGAGAAATTTTTTGGAATTGGAATCTTTGTCATTTTTATTTGTATTTGTATTTTTTTCTTTTATTTATGGTTTTTCTTGTTGTTTGGAGCTTCTCTGTATCTTACTATCAAGGTGTGAGATACTTTTATATATAACTCTAGAAGAACAGAAAATATATCATAGTCCCTAAATGTATACTTTGAGGTATTAAATTTTTATCGATATTTCTAGATGTCCACCAACTACTCGATGATATAGGTAGTGAATTGACATTTCAATTCTATTATAAAAAAGATAATTGAAATATGGAAAATAATAATAAAATATTACAAATATCAACCTAATGTAATTTAATTTGATTCAAAAGGACAACTTTTGCTTATTTGTTAATTTAATTAATTTATTTGTTAACTTTATTGATTTTTATTATTTTTTCCATATATCTTTTATCTCAGTCAATATTTTCATAAAATTGATAGTTAGACATTTAAATATTTGGTTTTAGTTTTATAATCCTACTATTTTAGTGTTATTTTTTTTATAAAATAAGTTATTATTAGTTGTGGGATAAATAATGCCGAACCCCACAAAGAAGTTACGAATCCACTCCAGGGAAAAAAAATCCACGAACAAGGGAGTAACACAAGATGTTGATCCAAATTAGAAGAAATAAGAGTAGAAACTCAAACTCAAAAGTCCAACGAATAAACAGTAGCACGGAGCCCAGCACATCGAAACCCGATGCTCCATCGCCTTTGTTGTCCATAACCTTTCGAGCTAGATGGTGAGCTACAAAATTTTCTTCTCTTCTAGTAAAATTGAAGGTAAAGTTAAAAAAGAAAGTATAAATGATAAAAAGGTGAATACAGTTCTAAAAATATATATCCTTCACTTAATTTATTGGAGAAATTTAATTTGTGGACTATAATTTTTTTTATTCATATTTGGATTCTCTATTTGAGTATGGCAAACTTGATTTAGAGCTTGTTTTCAAATATTTAAATATGCGAACTTGTTGACTGGGGAAGTTACAATGATGAATTAAATGGTGAATGATCCTATTCGAAGTTTTACGAGTTTGATGAAGTGGATTTTGACCCTATTTGATTTGAAGTTCAATCTAACGATACAATTTGATTGCACTAATGTTTTTTATTTTATTTTTATTTTTTTAGAGGTTTTTTTAGTAAATGTGTGGTGTGGGAGTTCGAAACCTCTCAATTAGAGTTAATTATGTGCCAATTAACGTTTTGAATTATTATTATTATTATTTTTTTTTTTTAGAAAATCAAGTGCACTGACTTATATATAGTAGGTATAAAGTAATATATATAATAGGTAGAAATAGAGCATACCTGCAAAAATATATATGATATGTATTATGTAACTAGAAGATAATATTTATTATTTTCTATAACTTTTTAATCAATTTATTCTTTAAATTTTATATTGTTTATATCAAATATAAATGGAAATTGATAAGTAAACAAAATTAAGAAACTACTTAATTTTTATAGCAATAATTCAAGCTCTTACACAAAACTTTTGAATCTATCCATAATGAATCAAATGAAAACAAAACTCTGCTAAAGAAGTGGGGAGAACCCTCATAAAATATAAATGGATTACGCATTAGGACTTGAGCTCGAGTCCCTAGACTTTATAATATATATATAATTTGGTTATTTATTTAGCTTTCCTTCCCACCCAAGTTCGAATCAATAGTAATATAATTATTATATAATTTCTCAATGTTTAAAACTGCAAAAAAAAAAAATAATAATAAATAGAAATCATTATTTTATAGAAAAATTAAAACTTTCTTTCTTTATATCAAATATTTTATTAAAAAAAGATAAAGATATCCAAACACTTATTTTCTAAAATTATTATTTTTTCCTTGAAGATCAGTTTCAATAATTTTAAACGGTGCTACTATTACCCTAGCTATTATTTTGAACCTAACTTTTCTTTTTAGTTGTACATCGGTAATATATTTACTTTTGTACCAGTATCTTTTTCTTTCTCTATAAATCATTAATTTTTTTAGATTTGATTGTTCTTATTTTATGTAAGTATTAATTTGGATTTTTTAGAGTTTAAAGAAGTCTACAGTTTAGAGGTTAATTTTTGAAAAATTAAGATATAATATTATAATTTTAATTTTAATTTAAAAATTAAGATATAATATTATAATTATAATTTTAATTTTAATTTCTATTAAATAGAAATTAAAAATATTTAAAATTTAATAAAATATTGTAAAAAAAATTTTAATAGCATAAATTATAATTTTAATAAAAAAGTTGTACTTATTATTTCATGTTTGATTTTTTTCTTGTATTTATATATAATAATTAGTCATTAATTGCATTCAACAAAATAATTATCAAAAATTATCAAAATATATAAACAAGAATTAATACCTTTCGAAATAAGGTTTTGGAGCTGCCTGACAATTATGATGTACCAAATAAATAATTTAAATCGTTTATGAATTGCCGAAAATCCCTCTAAGGGCCTCTTTGCGGGGCTCTCGATCTTAGCTTGCATGTTTATGGGGCTGATCAACCACCGCTGATGCATTCTCCTTCGTTGATGCCAGGGCAATATTCCGTTACTTATGGGACAACCGCTTAACCCTATAACATTAATTAGTGTCAAAAAACACATAAAAATTAATTTTTTTAAGTCGTCATCATGGGTTTAAACATACTTCCTCTTAACTAATCTTAATTCCTTTGAGCCACCATGATGGTTAGTTTTGTTTTCATTTGATTCATTACGGATAGGTTAAAAATTTTACGTATAAGAGGTTGAATTTAATTATATTCTTGCCTTTACTATAAAAATAAAGTAGTTTTTTAATAAATTCCAAGTATTATTTTCACCAAGCATGCTATTTTTCTTTCATTATGTACCTTATGTGCCAAGAAGATTGCTCATGAATACACAACATTTAGAACATGGTGTTAATTTATTAGAAGTATATAATACGGAAGTCAAGGTAACAAGCACGCCCAAATACAAAGATAGTCCTAATCAAATTTATACGAAAAAAGTTTCCCGAATCGTGAGATATTATCTAGAGTTTTAGAAGGCAAGCAATTTATTAAAAATAAAAATGTGGTAAAAACAAAGTACCAAAAGCGTAAATGAACAAGTTAGTACTAAAAAAACGTAAATGAACAACGCGATTTAAACCAAATGACGATGCTTTTATGTTAGCTAGCTACAACATGTTCAAGATTACTATATGAATATAAAGCTTGCTGTATAATGCATGTTTAATAAAGAGCGGATCAAATTATCAACAAATTCTATACCACCCCATCACTTTGAAAACTCCTGATTGTAGAGTCGAGTAGGAAAAGGTTTGAAATTATTTACTCATTTTACTTATTTATTAATGAAAAAATTCAAATGTAGCGTGATAAATCATTGATAAAAGACACCCGTATTTAAAAGGTTAAAATATTACTTTGATCACACTTTTTTTTTTTTTGCAAAATTTTAACACAAAGTCCACATCACGGAAATCATTTAATTTTAATATATGATCATGGTTATATATATTTTTCAATAAATATATTGAGTACAGTGATGTGTTAAAATAATAATATAAAAAATAGACTAAAAATAAAATAAAAAAAATCAAAATAGTTACTTTATAAAAATACAAAGACAAAAAAACAAATATTTTGAAAAATAGTCCATTTTTAAAAGTAAAAAAATTAAAACAAACCATTTGAAACTATAGGAATGAATTAAAATATGAATCAAAATTGAAATATAAGGATCATAATAATATTTTAATCTATTTAAAAATATTAGGGGGAGTGGGCTAGCTACACATCCAAATTTTTATTGATAAAATGATATATTTTTGACGTAATAACATAATTAAGAAAAAGTAATACATTAAATTGACAATTTCAATTTTAATAAAAAATGATTTTTAAAATACATTTTCCGAATAAGCCTTCATCACTAGATGGGTAATCTTAACATCACGAGCCGGTGACCTTATTGAGCTGACAGCTCCTCCGCCCTCGGCTCGGCAAAAGCCCCTAAAACCCACAAAAAAAACTAGCAGTTCTTCCATTGTTGCTCTCTGCTAAACCTCCATCGTTTGCCGCAAAACCCTAGCCATGGAGGAAGATGAAAAGGCTGGACCTCCCAATAAGGATTTGTACGCTCTACTCCACATTTCTCCGGAAGCCTCCGACGAAGAAATCCGTAAAGCTTACCGTCAATGGGCCCAAGTCTACCATCCTGATAAATATCAATCTCCTCAGGTATTTTCCAATTCACACTCACAATTCTTTGTTCGTCAATTGAGTTTCTGTTCTTTGGATTTCAATTTTGTTTTCTCCAGTTTTTGGTTAAGTTTGTGGTAGTGATGTTTTTGTGTTTTTTTGCACTTCCATTGAACTTATTTGAGTTTATGGGATAGTTGATTGAGCGCTTTTCTGCCCTAGTTTGTGATCATCAGTGAAGTGGAATGTGTATGATTGAGCTTATTTGTGGCTTTTTGATATGTTTGATTTCAATTCTTGAGTGGGGTTAGCCCTCTCGTAATGTTTAATTTCATATTTGTAGGTTATGCCTTGCCTTTATTGGGGATCCTTAAGGTAGCAGAGCTATCTGATTAGTAATTCCGTGAATACTGTTTTTCTTTTTAAAGTACTATTAGGAATTGTGCATAATTTCAGCATGGGACACCCTAGGAATTGTGTTTTATCATTTTATGAGTACTGTTCGTGTTCTTCAGAATCTTTAGAAGAAGAAAGAACCCGCAGAAGCATATTTTAATTTGATTGTAGCTTTATTTTATACTTGGATATATGGAGTAGAAGTCGTCCCAGATTTTCTTTTCTTTTTTGTTATTTTTTTAATGGGTAATTGCTCCATCGTTTGAATTTCCATGCTATCGGGACTAAAGCAAACTTATCTGTGATTCTGTCATTAGATTTTTTCTGTCTTTTTATTTTTATTTTTATAATAAGAACAATGTTTGAATGAACTGCGCATCTATTGCGTATTATGTAGCTATGATCCTTGTGAGCCTTCCTCAGTGTTTCTCATGTTTGGTTCTTTAGATGAAAGATATTGCCACAGAGAACTTTCAACGGATCTGTGAAGCATACGAAATATTAACCGATGAGAATAAAAGACAGATATATGACATCTATGGCATGGAAGGATTGACTTCTGGTCTGGAACTTGGTCCAAAGCTGAATAAAGCAGACGAGATAAAGGAAGAGCTTGAAAGATTGCGGAAAAGGAAGGAACAAGAAAAAATTTCAGCACATTTCAGACCTTCCGGTACCATACTGGCTAATATGTCTTTGCCACATTTTTTGATGGGCGATGGCATCATGAGAGGGTAACAAAATCTTTCAATTTGTTGCCCCACATTCTACTTCAGTTTAAGTGAATGAATATAACATTGCATTAGGCACAACATTACATCAGTTTACCTGCATGCCATAAGTAGTAGAAATGGTCTCTGTGTTATTGGTTCTTTCTCCCGTCCTTTCTTTCTGAATATCATAAACTTAAATCTGTAAATTACTGGTTACGAAAAATTTTGAGGTTTCTGATTTGAACATTAATATATATTAATGAAGTTTGTCTAGTCTTATTGCTATTTTATTATCCAGCTTCTCATTTATTTATGTACCAAAATATCAGAATGGCCATGACAAGTGAAGTTCAGTCTCAGCTTTCAAAAAATAATACCGTTGGAATAGGAGGAAATTTGGCAGTTACTGGGAACTCTGGAGGTGGGGCTGCTACTGCAGTGTTTCGTCATCAATTCTCTTCAGTTTCTTCTGTAGAATTTATGGCTTCAGCTGGTTTGAGATCACTTATTGGGATGCAAGCATCCCGGTGAGAAATTGCTTCTCCTGAATCTGTCTGACTTTGGGAAAACTTACTAGCTCTCACCCCATTTTCTCTCCTCATTTGTTCAGTCACCTTACATTGCACTCAACGGCAACAATGGGTATTTCGATGTCATTGAAGGATGGATCATTGAATCTGTCCAATGCTTGGACTCGCCAACTTTCCGAAACAGCAAATGGAAATGTATGCTTTTTTTTTTTCCAATCAAGTTATGTTTTATATTCTTGTTATCAGGTTGTTAATATGTGCTCAGATGGTACCTGAAGGCATAATAGAATCAGGATCTTCACATATTTATGCTGCTTTATTCTATCAAGTCTCAGATTTACATACCAAGTCACAATTTTTTATCATGTTCAATTTTACCATAGAAAATTTGTGAAAGAGAAGTGAATGGACTATAAAATTTTGACTTGGATTTGTGCAAATAAAGAGTTTATGTTTGAAAGTTTATCATCCGTACTTAGTTTCTTATCTCTGCTGCTTGCACTGCTTCCTGACTACTGTCTTCCCCTTTCTTTTTCCTCTTTAGATACAACTTATTTTAGGCCCAGAGTCATCTGTCGCAGTTGGATGGCAGAAGAAAGAAGAGAAAATGTCTGCTGCGGGAGAGGTTAAGGTATTTCTCTTCTGTTCCTGATCATTAGTTATTCTCAAAGAAAGGTTGAAGGCATTGGATTTTAGAATTTGGAATAAGATTGGCACCAGATGTCAATAATGATACAAACATCGTAATAATAGTATAATTCCACCGCCACACACACAAAAGGAAAAAAAGAATCTTCATGTTTCTTACCACATCTCTTTGTTGCCTCAAACACAAGGAATTTTTTTTTTTTTGTATTCTTGTTTTTTTTTTGTTTTGTAATTACAACTTACTTTTTATCCTTCAAGATTGGAAGGGATGTACTAGTTTTTGTGGGAGGGGTCCTCTCATCCCCTTGCCCTTAGGCCTTAGCCTGTTTTGTCCTTGGCCTTTTGTGTTAATTTATTTGTCTCTTATCCAAAAAAAAGGGTTTCTTATCCCTTTGACTGCCGTTTTTCTTTACCTTTATCTATGTGTTGCTCTTGCAGTTTGGCACAAGTTCTTTTGGGGCATCAGCTCATTATACTCATCGCTTCTCTCCAAAGTCTCATGGCCGAATTGCCGGGAGAGTTGGAAGGTAGTTTCTTGGAGGATTATGGTTAATTTGTCCAATGTTACATCTTTCCTTAATTCTTCTTTCTTCTTTCCTGTTCAAGTTGTTAATGATATAGTAATTGTTACAAGATACCAAGTTTAATTTATCTTGGAGTTGGCCATTGTTGATCAAGGAGCACATGGAACAAATTCTGTGTGGGCACAACTTTAACAGGAGATCTAAAATTTTATGGAAAATGCTATTTTAGTTGGTCTTTAGGAAATTTGATATGGAAGAACAGAGAAACTTTTGATGGTACCTCCAGAGATCTTGTAAATTCTTTTTTTTTTCCCCTACTCATTTAAATTCATTACTGCGAGATGGTGTTTCCTTTTCAAAAGCTTTTATAATTACTCCCCTTCTTGATTTATGCTAATTGGAGCAATTTTTTTGCAGGCTCCTAAACATTTTGGTGGTTGTTTGTCTTTATTTTTTATGGGATGTGTGATATGCAATGATTCCCCATTTACGACTACTTGTGTTAATGCTCCTTGTTAGGACATGGACTGCCTCTTGTAATTTTTTTTGTTGACTTGAGTTGCTAATACTGCAGCACGATGCTTGAGCTTGAACTTGGTGGTGGGAGGAAATTATCCAAATTCAGTACTGTTCGGATGTTGTATTCAATTGGGATTCAGGTAGTTGCAGATTCATGGGTGGAAAAATAAATTAATTGTTGTGCTCTGATTCTTGAGCTTTGCATGCCTATTTGCTATTGAGTAATGAAGAATTATTTAATCTTCTGGATGCCAGATTGGACTTCTAATGATTCATGTATGCTTTGCCTTTTGTTTTCTTTCGTTCTATTCCTTTGAGGATTTATTCTTTGATGTGGTTTCCATAATTGGAAACATGTTTCTTAACTTGTATAATTGATTCCAGTTTTTGGTGTTATCCTGTTATTTTACTTTTCCAGGGCATCTTTTGGAAGTTTGAGCTGCACCGTGGAGGTCAAAAATTGATTATTCCAGTAAGTTTTATCTCCTATTTTCTCTGACTAATCTCTAGAGGCTTGATTCTTGAGTCTGTGTGCCAACTTTATTTCTCCATTTTTTTAACAGAATTGTGGAATAAACTATAAAACTTCTTTACTAATTACAGTGTTATAATTGTTAGCTATGATGGATGAACTATAAACTTGGTTTTGTATGAGGTAATACGAAGACTTCAAGCATGATTGTTAATTTTTCAGACAAAATTTTTTGTGCGCTCCAAAATTTTTTGTGCGCTCTCTCTCCTTCCCTGGTGTGTGCTTGTGCACATACACACAAGTATTTATGATGCATTGTCCTAGGCAAGACTCGGGTAAAGCATTGTTTGTGAGACAAAAAAAAAAATTGCTTGAGTACCAAAAAATCCATATTGACGTGTAGACATCTAAATCACAGCCTTGGTAACTTTTTCAACTACCAAATCTCATTTATGGATATTCAATTGTAATATGTAATTTCAAGTAGTGAAGTTTTCAAATTTCAAGCAAAATTGTGAACTGAAATAAATTAGAGTTCTTTAGGTTCGGACAGTTCCCTTCTCATCTTTCTCTCGTGGCTTTGTTTATTTAATTTTCTTCAAAATTTAAGTAGTAGTGATATTCCAATGATATAATATGGCTCTTGTTTGCTGTACACAAATACAAACACACAATACAATATATATTGTGCACTTATGTTATCTTCAACTAAATGATGGAGAGACTTTTTTATTTTCTGCTGGTTCAGATTTTTGTTTGATTTTTTTTCCGCTTATCTGTAGTTTATACTTCTTTGTTTATTATGTCTTGATCTCTTTCTGATTTGATATTTCATGCAGATTCTGATTTCCAGGCATTTGAACCCTGTGTTTGCCGCTGGTGCATTCCTATTTCCCACTTCAGCCTACTTTTTGCTCAAGGTTATCTAAACTATGTAGCGTTTGATCAATCTCTAAACTATCTATTAATGAATTGGTTTGTGATATATTTATTTTTCTATTGGTTTCCTGACTAACTAATGTTTTACTTTATGTCTTTAGATTTATAGTAAGGAATAAGTGGAGATTAAGACCTTTTTTAGTTGACTCTATCATTCCAACAAAGTAATAGTCATTTGATGTGGCTCTTAAATTTTTAAGTCTTCTGTGCTATGATTGCAGAAATTTTTGGTAAAACCTTATTACCAGAGAAGGGAAAAACAAAAGGCTTTAGAGAACATGCAAAAAACTTCTGCTCAGGTATTGATTTCTTGTACAATTTATGGAGCTTTAGGATACATGTAGCCTGTAAAAACTGCCCTTTTTTTTGTTGCTTCTGTAAGATAATATTTTAAAACTGGATATTTTTTCTTTATGTACTTATGTGGAAGAGATCAGTTTTGGAGGTTGACACTGTATGTTGTATCTACGGAAATATAAAATCTTATACTAATATTATTATTATTTTCTTTTAGACGAGTGTAGTTGGAGATGTTGATAGCCTTGCTTTTTTGAGATTAAAACATTAATTTATGTCATTCTAATGTGAATAGTAAAAGGGTTAAGAGGGAGTGGTTTAAGCCATATGGACCTACTTAGGATTCATTATTCCATGAATTTCTTTGTCAACCACCTGTAGTAGGGTTAGAAAGTTGTCCAATGAGAATAATTGAGGTGTGCGCAAACTAGCTAAGATAATCATGGGTATGATAAAAATTTTATGCTGTTAATAGCATTGCCGCATTACATAATACTTTCCCCATTTTCTTTTCCCTGAATCAGATAGATTTTTCTGGAACTGCCTTTTATCTCAAGTATTTAAACTTTTTTATTGGCGACTTCCAATTTTTTGTTGTTAAGAGTTGTTGATGATTTATTTTGCGTTATTTCCAAGTGTAGGTGCGGGAAGCAAGAGCCGCAGCTGAGAAAGCTCAACAGCTACTGCAAAATGTAGCCAACAGGAAAAGAAACAGGCAATCTGAAATTGGTAGACTTGTTATTACTAAAGCAATGTATGGAAATCAGAAGGCTTTGAAGAAAAGGGACGAATCAAGCGAACCAAATGATGAATCATCTCTAAGCATCATAGATGTGACTTTGCCTCTAAATTTCTTGGTTAATGATTCCGGGCTGCTGAAGGTAATTTTTTTGACTTATTTATTTCCTATGTTTTTACATTTTCTGAAAAATCCTATATGAAGAATATTATTTTTATTGGAAAGAAATGAAAGGATAAAATAATACACAAGGGCAATGAAAAAAGGAAGTCCCAAAACAAAAGGAGCCTATAAGAAAGAACAAAAAGCTACCCAACTACAATTACAAAAAGGGTGTTCAGTTCAAAAGAATGATAGATAAAGGATAATCACAAAGTCCTTATTAACTGAGAGCCAAAGGGAGACTTTAAACCTATCCAAGCCCCAAACCTCCTCCTAATAGCTCTCCTCATCTGTTAAGAGCCTCCTATTTCTCTAAAGTCAGATGTTCCACAAGACTGCATAGAGCTCCATCATAGCATCAAGTGTTATGAGACATTTGGATTCCAAAAGCCTCCAGAAAGTGGTCCCATATCGTCATATCGTCACTTGAAAAAGTCCTATATAGCACTTACACATTGGCATTAGATTATTGATCTATTATGATATTGCAAGAGGCCGGTAGAAATAAGAACCCATGTGGCCATAACCAATAATGGTTAGTGTGCTAGCAAAATGCTAGAATGAACCCATTCCCATGATCCAGAAAACATCGACTTTTTGTTATTGTATTGATTGAGTTCTAATGTTGATGTGAATTAAGTCAAATGAAAAACCAACTACCTGAAAACTTAAATGTCAGTGAAGTACTGTGTAGCCGCTGAGCGGTGGAAGGGCTAAGTAGCCTTTAAAGTTCCCTTTGAGGGATTGAATCTCGATGGCCACTTGTCTCTTGAAATTTTACAAGCGTTGTTGGGTCAACCAATAATTGTCTTATAGGCTTTAGCAACTTGTTCGTTAGTTAGAACGAATTTTCTAACGTATGTACATAGACTTTACACTCGGGACTCGATATTTCATTATGCCATTCTATCTTGGATGCAGCTCCATGATGGGGTAAAGAAGTCGGGTATCATGGGCTTTTGTGACCCATGCCCTGGAGAACCAAAACAGTTGTATATTGAGTACACTTATGGTGGCAAAACTTTTGAGGTACTACATCCAAATTCAGACATTTATAAATTATAGGTTAGTAACTGTTAGTTATTTTAATTGTTTTAGGGTTGCTACTAATATGAAGTTTTTCTGCGTAGGTGGTTGTGGATGATTACGAGGAGTTGCTAATACCAAAGCCATCGCAGAGAATCTAATATCAACAATAAGATTATACACGCCTGGTTAAATACCTCCAGCAAATTTTCATACTTCATCTGCTCTAGGTAATTCATCTTGACTGCATAATTATACCTTTAGATGGTCGTATTCATTTTGTAATAAATTTTGTATTTTAGAGGTTTCAAGTAATGGTTGTTTTCTTTTCATTGAGAATTTTCTTCTAATGGTATAATAAAATCCATTTTTCAAAGTCTTATTTATTCCATTAAATCCTTCTTCTTCTTCTTCTTCCATTAAATTCACTTCTATGGATCTCACTTTAGGGGAAGTATCATTAGGATCTTGTTTCAATTTCACCAAATTAAAAGATGTACATGATGCCTGCTTACCATAATATCTGAAAAGCCAAGCTTTTACCAAGAAAAATGAAAGTAAATTCCAAAGGAACCTAAACAAAAACCTATACTACAGTCTACAGACACAAAAATAGGCTCCAGTTATAAGAATGGGGATAACTAAACAAATCCTTGAAACAGATGCTCATAGAGTAATGTCAAGCAGAGAAACAGTGAACCTAGTTAGACATCCAACCTCCCTCCAAGATCTCTCAAACACCTCTAAGGACTCATATTCCTCTCAAGTAAAATATTTCACAAAATGGAAAAATTAACTTATATGCCAAATGAGCACTTCCATTGCCTCGAAACAGTGAAACGAGACCTTCATCATTGAGCAACACTCTCTATAATGTATTGATGACACTTCAGTATGTGCTTCAGTAAGTTGCATGTCTCTAAGCCGACTTATTTTAAGGGCAATTTGTCATTTGAACACAAAATTTGGAGGTAAACAGAACTCGTCACTTCCTAGAAAATTTGGTAGAGCATCCTTATTTATGTATCTATAATAGCGTGAGTTGTTTTAGTAGGGCAATATAATCTTGAATATCAGTGATTAAGGTTTTTAAAGTTGATTTCTCTCTGACAGAGAGATAACAGGCAAGATTCCTAATGTTATCCTAAGGGAAGTTTGTACCTGTTTCATCAAATATTTATTTCAGTTGAATTAAGTTGGATAATTAGTTGAGACCTGATGCTAGAGATTAGAAGCATGCTATTTCTAGGTCAAAGAGGAGGTAGGTTGATTTACAGGCATTAAAATCTTTTTCCAGTGTTTCTTTCTTGGAAATGGTAGAACTCTTGCGTGGTGGGAACTGGAAAGCTGTATCTCTTTGTTAATTATGAATCTTACTACTTGATTTGGGAAGAATCAGTTGGATCCTATTCTGAGTTGATTCTATTTATCAAGTCTAATCTCATGAGATCATCTCAAATATGAGTTTGGTTTAGCCACCAAGGGGCAGCCTGGACTTAGGACCTCTTGGTTATACTAACTCAGGTTTCAAGCTCGAACCTTCTGATGAGTTTAATACCAAAAGTCCTTGTTGTCTTTCTGGTTTGAGCCTTAGGGCAGGCGTGGGTGCTCTTGGGTATAAGGTAGCAAAGTTTTGACTCCCAATTGAGTTTAAATGGATAGAATTGAAAGCTAAGGTTAAAATTGATTTAAGTGGTCAATAAAGGCCAATGTAAATAACAAAGGACTTAGAGGGAATGAGTTCAAACCATGGTGGCTATCTATCTAGGATTTAATATCCTACGAGTTTCCTTGTCAACCAAATGTAGTAGGGTTAGATGGTTGACCCGTGAATCCGGACACACGGATATAAAAAAAAAGGTTAAAATTGATTTAAAGGATAAAAAACGATCTTTTTGAAATTATAATTTGAGTGAGAAGCTAAGATTTGATGAGGTGGGAACTAAAATCTAATGAGGTTTAAGTTTATAATAAACTTAGAAATCTTACAAAATTTACCATTGTAGTTTAACCGTTTTTTAAGAGTAAAAGTAGGATGTTACAATCAAATGTAATAGGATTCTGGCAAGATTAGTAGAGGTGTGTACATTTAATGGGGCATGATGCCTAAATATTTTAGTAATTTTTAGGAATTCGGACTTAATGTTTGAAACTGCATACATTAAATTTATAATTTAATCAGTTAATCATATAAACTTTTGACTAGCATTTTATAAAATGGGCTTCCCGCCCAATACGAAAATTTATAAAATCTATCATCACACCCAGTGAAAAGCTATGTCGGAGCATAATTTAATAGATAAAATATCAATTATCTTCTTTAAAATTAACTTTCATTCCCTTATATTTGAAAAAAAAGTAAAGGTTTAAATACTAT